TCACCAAGGCCCGTCCGCCTTGTGATCATCCGCGCTTCTGTACTTTGCTAGGTCTTGTGCCTACTTGGCCTCACTCGCTAACTTCTTGATCTTGTTTGTACTGTACTCTTTCTATACTTGCACTTGCTTGTTTACCTTTATATATATGATCTTGCATGTGAAGTTGCCTTGTGGCCTTACTCTTGTGCTCGGACTGTGTGGTGACTTTGTGATTCACCCTGAGCTTGCTTTGCTTTACTTGACTGGTCTTGTGACCACTTGTTCTCCCCCACTTTGCCTATGGGGGTGTGTCAGATCATTATAGCTTATGCATTTGTGTAGGCTGTAGTGGGGTAGCCCATAAGGGGTACAACCCAATTAGGGTTAGTACTTGTACCCAACTCTTTCATTGTTTATTCATTCTCATTTCTCGTCAACTATGTAGTGGAAGGTGATGTAGATGGGGGTTGGGTTCTTGGCGCAGAACTCAGTAGGAAGCGCAACGCGGTAGCGAGTGTCACTAGTGCGGAGGTGCGTAATGAGGTCAGCGACTGTGGGAAAGGCAGCAAGGTCTGGGAAGAGGTACGGTAGCATGAGGCGGCTCAGTGCAGCAGTGGCAGGGGAAGAGTAGCGTGCAGCTACAGTGTCGTACAAGGTTTGAGCTCTCTTGTATTGGCTAAAGTGTGCAAGCTCAGTGGTCGGTATGTGGCGGCGCACGGCAAGGCGAGGAGCAGCATCACGCGTGGCCCACTGTGAGCGAACAGTGGCGTCGGCATCAGCAGCAGGGGCAGGAGAGGCACCAGAAGTGAGGTCAAACAGGGAGAGACCGTTTTCCCTATCGCACTATAGGAAAATCTTGTAGATCATCTACCCTGACCTCAAATTCAACTGCCCGACCCTCAGCGTCAAAGGTGAGAACACTAGGGGAGGCTATAACAGCAGTAGACAGGCAGTGAGTACAATGGGGCAGGGCAGTGCAGTGGCAGAGGCGCTGCTCTTACTAGGCAAGTGGGGCGGTCCCGGGCAGGCCAACAGGCGGCAGGGCCTCGGCTTCGGTGCGGCTTGGCGGCTCGGCTGCAAGGCGGCTCGGCGGTCGGGCGGCTTGGCTGCTTGTCGGCTCGGCTGCTTGGCGGCTGGGCTGCTCGACGGCTGGGCTGCTCGGCGGCTCGGGCGCTGGGCGGCTAAACGGCGACGGGGCCGTGGAAGGGCGGCGACGGGGCCGATGAAAGGGCGGCGACGGGCCGCTGAAAGGGCGACGATGGGCCGCTGAAAGGGCGGCAAATGGGCCGTGGAAGGGCGGCGACGGGGCCGCTGAAGGGCGGCGACGGGGCCGCGGAAGGGCGGCGACGGGGCCGCTGAAAGGGCGGGCGGCGACGGGGCCACCGAGAGGGCAGCGACGGGGCCGCTGAAAGGGCGGCGACGGGGCCGCGGAAGGGCGGCGATGGGGCCGCTGGAGGGCGGCGACGGGGCCGCGGAAGGGCGGCGACGGGGGCGCTGAAAGGGCGGCGACAAGGCCGCTGAAAGGGCGGCGACGAGGCCGCTGAAAGGGCGGCGACGAGGCCGCTGAAAGGGCGGCGACGGGGTCGCGGAAAGGGCGGTGACGGGGCCGCGGAAAGGGCGGCGACGGGGCCGCTGAAAGGGGCCGCGAGGGCGGTTCAAAGAGGGCCGCGAGGGCAGCTCGACGGGGCCGTGAGGAGGGCGCGACGGGGCCAATAGGGGCCGTGAGGGAAGTCACACGAGGCGCGACCCGGGAAAGGGCCAAGCACGCTCGAGGGAGGAAAAAAAAGTCGGTGGGCCCTAGGAATAGTTCCCACGGGGGAACCTGCTCTATACCATGTGAGAATTAGAACGAGAATGAATGAACTATGAAACAGTTGGGTACAAGTACTAACCCTAATTGGGTTGTACCCCTTATGGGCTACCCTACTACAGCCTACACAAATGTAGCTATATGTTCTGACAAATCAAGCCGCGGGCTTCCACCGAGACATGATGGAGAAATTCTTCTCCTTCATGTCCTTCTACGAACAACACCAGCAAGGGGCACCTGCGCAGTCAAACAACAACAACAACAACATCGCAACACCGATGAGCCTCGACGGTTCATCCTACGCACGACAAAATCAGCAACAACAACCTACGTTCGCCCCGTACGAACCTCAGCGCGGTTCTGTCAGCTTCATGCCACGCCAACAGCCTTCACCTGAGCAAGAGAAGACATTAGATGCACTTTAAGTTCAGTCGCAATTTGCGCACATCTTAAAACTGCAGACGTCAAGACCGTTCGACGGAAAGGACTTCTTCACCTGCTAGTTCGAATTCGAGCTGATGATGGAAGGCGCGCAGATTATTGGCTTCTTCGACGGGTCCCTGCAATATCCAACGCACGGGACGCAGTACGACAAGCAGCAGTATACTGTGAGAATAGTAGCTAGAACAAGGAGCCATAGGTAGGGTTTACCTAGCTAGGCAAGAGAGAATTAGGCAAAAGAGGGATTGACTAGATGGAAGGGAGGTACAAATAGCAAGCCCCTATAGGGTATACTCACTATTGAGTACTCCACTACAGACTACACAAGCATTATATTCTGACACACCCCCATAGTCAAAGTGGGGTATAATCAGCATAGCAAGCAGTCATAGAGCAGGTTCACAATTGCAAGCAAAGCTAGAGGCTAACACAGAGGGCAAGTGAGGAGGAGGAGAGACTATGGGAGGAGAGAAGATGGGAGGCAACGACTGAAGCTGCAGAGGCACGGGCACAGGAGCGGCTGACTCAGTGGCTATCGAAGCAAGGGCGACGGACTACTGGAGTGACTGGCTCCGCGGCTAAGATGAGCGGCAGGAGCAACGGACCCACTTGCGACTGGTGCAACAGGCTCACTGGCTACCGAAGCAAGGGCGACGGACTACAGGCGCTGCAGGCGACACGACAGCTACCTCCATACAACCTCCTCCAACTGACCCACACCCTTGACACACACCCTAACTGCTTCACCCCTAACTCCACTCCCATGTCATCCCCCTAGCACCACTCCTTCGGCTCCCACACACCCACCCCATTCAGCGACAGCTGCAGCAGTGGGAGACAGAGGAGGAGGAGGAGCATGTGACGGCTCACACACCCGCCACCCCCATACCCGTCACCCCCATACCCTGAGTGTGCGGTAAGCGAGCTCAGGTGTGCGCGAATCGTGCACAAGTGTGCGGGAAGCGAACTCAGGTGTGCGGTAAGCAAACTCAGGTGTGCCGGGGAGGGGGGGGGGGGGCTACAGGGCGACGCGTGGGTCGAAGGGGACGAGCGCACAGGTCCCCGGGGGCGGCGCGCGGGTCGACGGGGCCGCCGCATAGGGCAACGAGGATCCGCGCGCGGGTTGACGGGGCCGCCGCGAAGGGCGACGGGGAGCCGCGGGCGGGTCGACGGGGCCGCCGCAAAGGGCGACGGGGAGCCGCACGAAAGTCGACAGGGACGGGCGCGCGGGTCGACGGAAACCGCCACGCGTCTCGAGCGCATGGCGGGCAAAAATCCACGCGCCACGAGCGCGCGGCGGGATGAAAAAAGTGTCGCGCGCCCGGGGCGCACGACCAGCAGATAAGTAGCAGCGGAAGCAGTAGGCGGGCCCACAGGCCAAGAGCGTAACAACTCTGATTCCATGTGAGAATAGTAGCTAGAACAAGGAGCCATAGCTAGGGTTTACCTAGCTAGGCAAGAGACAATTAGGCAAAATAGGGATTGACTAGATGGAAGGGAGGTAAAAATAGCAAGCCCTAAAAGGGTATACTCACTATTGAGTACCCCACTACAGACTAGACAAGCATTATATTCTGACTTATACATATCAATCCATGATGGTGTATACAATCCTACTGCGCAACATCACACCGAACCAGCACCAGAATATTCGGACTTACCGAGGATACGGAAACTCCGCCGAACTCGCGTACAATTGTCAGGCATATATGCTATAGACTGTGTAGGCTGTAGTGGGGCAGTTCATATGGGGTACAACACTTTAGGGTTTACTACTTGTACTCCTCATTCTGCTCAATGCATTCATTCCTCGTTTCTTATCATGGTATCGAGCAGGTTCCCTAAAGGGAACGCTACCTAGGGCCCACCACGATTTGTTTCCCTCCCCGGAGCACGCTTCACTCCTGCCCGAGTCGCGCTCTGTGTGCCCTCCCTACCTTCGCACCGCCCTTAGTAGCCCCTCTCACGACCCCTTACGCCGCCCTTACGGCCCCTAACGCCGCCCTCTACAGCCTCTCGCGCCGCCCTTTCCGGCCCCTTACGGCCCCGTCGCCACCCTGTTTCGGCCCCTAGCGGCCCCTTTGCGGCCCCGTCTAGGCCCCTTGCGGCCCCTCTGCGGCCCCTCTGAGACCCCGTCGCCGCCACCTACGGCCCCGTCGCCGCCACCTGCGGCCCCGTCGCCGTCACTTGCGGCCCCATCGCCGCCACGTGCGGCCCCGTTGCCGCCACCTGCGGCCCCGTTGCCGTCACCTGCGGCCCTGTCGCCGCCACCTTCGGCCCCGTCGCCGCCACCTGCGGCCCCGTCGCCGCCCCCTGCGGCCCCATCGCCGCCACCTACGGCCACGCAGCCGCCACCTGCGGCCCCGCCGCCACCTGCGGCCCCGTCGCCGCCATCTACAGCCCCGTCGCCGTCACATGCGACCCCGTCGCCCTCCCCTAGCGGCCCTGTCGCCGCTAAGCCGCCCAGCGACCGAGCCGTCGAGCAGCCCAGCAGCCGAGCCGCCCACCTGCCGAGCAGCCGAGCCGCCCATCAGCCGAGCCACCCAGCAGCCGAGCTGCCCAGCAGTCGAGCCACCCAGCAGCCGAGCCGCCGAGCTGCCTAGCAGCCGAGCCGCCTAGTCGACGAGCCGCGGAGCAGCCGAGCCGCCCAGCAGCCGAGCCGCCCTGCCGCCGAGCCACCCTACTATCGAGCCGCTGCTGTTCCTACCGGTGCGCCCCGGCCCTTCTTCCTCGGACTGGTGAGCTCACTCCCTCCTAGGCCACTACAGTCATGGCTACCCTTAGTGTCCTTACTTTTGATGCTAAGGGCCGTGCCATTGACTTTGAGGTATGGGTCGATGACCTCCAGCTGTTTCTCCAATGCGATAGGGCACACGGAGTCTCTCTCTTTGATCTCACCTCTGGTGCCTCTCCTGCCCCGCCTGCTACTACTGACACCACTTTTTGCTCACAGTGGGCCACACGCGATGCTGCTGCTCGCCTTGCTGTGTGTCGCCACTTACCGACCACAGAGCGTGCACACTTTAGCTAGTGCAAGAGTGCTCAGACCTTGTACGATGCTGTAGTTTCACGCTACTCTTCCCCTGCCACTGGTGCACTGAGCCGCCTCATGCTACCGTACCTTTTCCTTGACCTTGCTGCCTTCCCCACAGTAGCTGACCTCATAACGCAGCTCCGCATTAGTGACACTCGCTACCGCACTGCGCTTCGTGCTGAATTCTGCGCCAAGAACCCCCCCCCCCCCCCCTTGTACGTCACCCTCTACTACATAGTCACCCGGCTCTCTGACTCTCTCCGTGTAGTCAGGGACCACTTCCTCTCAGTTTGCCCAACCACTCTCACCGTTGACCTCCTCGAGAAGAGCATAGTCGCTGTAGTAGCCTCTCGTGGTGACCCTCACACCCCCGTCTTTGAGGGGTGTTCCCCCTCCCCCCTCTTGCCCTCTATTGCCTCTAATGCTACGGCCGACATCGTTGGTTTCGAGTCGGTCGGCGCTGCGTCTGCCCCGAGCGGGAGACGCCGCACCGGCAAGGGCAAGGGGGGCAAGGGCGTTGGAGGGGCTGGCGGGGGCGGTGTACATGGTGGTGGAGGCCGTGGAGGGGGTGGGGGTGGTGGTGGGAGTGGTGGCGGGGGTGGAGGTGTCGGTGGCAGCAGTGGAGGCGGAGGAGGCGCGGCGGTGGCGAAGTGAGCGGAGGTGGCGGAGGTGGTGGAGGCGGCGGAGGCGGCGGAGGTGGCGGAGGCGGCGGCGGCAGCAGTGGACCTGGTCGCAGCTCTGCGCAGAGGAGTGGCTCCGGTGGTGGTACGCGCCAGCAGCAGCAGCACAGTCGTGAGACTGTGTCCCCTCAGCAGCTTCGTGAGTGGTACGCCGCGCATCAGCACGGTGGGGGTACGGGTCCCTGCGCCTATGTTTTCCGCACCGGCGACCGCGCTGGTGAGCAGTGCGGGGGCCCCCACTCCACCCAGCGCTGCTTTGGCCGCCTGACGGACGCGTGCCGTCACCAGTTCCCTGAGGCCTCTGAGATCCCTCGCCGGGGAGAGCTGTCTAGGGCGGGGGTTGCTATCTTTGATCTTCATTTTGATGCTATTCTTGCTCCCATGTATGCTGTTGCTGATAGTGTTGAGGGTGACTGTTACCTGTGTGTTCCGCCTGGCCCGGGCATTGAGCCTCCTGCTCTAGGTGCTGGTGATGCTGCTGCTCTAGGTGCTTGCGCGTCTGCTGCTGCTCTTGGTTCAAGAGGCGCTTCGCGGCCGCGGCCGTACTTCGTTCAGCACCTTGAGCAGGATCTTTGTCTTCCGCCTTCTACTGATCCTGCTCATCCCTTAGAGTGTCCACAACCTGTCCAGACGCAGTCACAGTTACAGCCCGCCTCCCCTCTACCTGCTTCTTCTCCCTACACTAGTCCTACTGGAGGTCTTGCTGAGCGTCGTGAGCCTGCGTCTCGTCATGCGTCGACTGTTCTACTGCTAGCACTACTAGTCGTGCTCCGCGTCCGCGTCCTCCTGCGGTCCCCGGCACACACCACATGGTGCTGCGTCCTTCTACTGCTCCTTTGCGTGTCCCGTTGCCGTCTCCTCCAGAGTCCTCTCTTCCTGTTCTCCCTGATCCGGCCTCTCACTCTCTTCGTGCTGCCAGTCCTACTGTCATGCGTCTCCTGGCCACTGTTGTCACCGACCCTTCCTTTGAGTCCACTGCTACGTCTACCTTAGTGGCTGAGCTTGTCGACTTCGCTTCTCGCTGACGTCTAGACTACACCACTAGTCTTCTTGCTGAGTCCGAGTCTGTCTATCCTCCGTCCGTCGGGGGTGGGTGTGCTCTTAGCACGGACGTCCTTGAGGACAGGCAGGAGGAGTTCCAGTGTTTTGCTGCTGCGTTCCCTCATTTCGTGTCCACGCTGATTGCCCCTGAGGGAGACCCGGATGCACCAGACATCCCGACTCCTCGATCGTACGCTGAGGTGATCGAGGGTCCCTACTCCTCACAGTGGCAGTCAACCATGGACGCAAAGATGGCTTCCTGAAAGTCCATAAGCACCTACGTCAATGAGGCTCCCCCACCTGGGGCGAACATCGTCAGTGGCATGTGGATTTTCAGGGTGAAGCGGCTTACGGGTTCTCCGCCTGTCTTCAAGGCGCGTTACATGGCTCGAGGCTTCAGACAGCGGCAGGGAGTTGACTACTTTCAGACCTTCTCTCCCACCCCAAAGATGACGACTCTTTGGGTGCTGCTGCACATAGCCGCTCAGCGCAACTACGAGCTTCACTCTCTTGACTTCAGCACAGCTTTCTTGCAGGGCAGCCTGCACGAGGAGATCTGGCTGCGCCCCCCTTCATTGGGTCGTTTCCTCCTGGTACCCAGTGGAGCCTTAGGCGGACACTCTACGGTCTCCGCCAGGCGCCCCATAAGTGGCACGACACACTGAGGACTACACTTGCGGCTCTTGTGTTTGCTCCTTCTACAGCCGACCCGTCGCTGTTTCTGCGCACCGACACCTCTATGCCGCCTTTCTACATCCTCGTGTACGTCGACGACTTGGTCTTTGCCATTGCTGACACTGCTGGACTCGCCCACGTGAAGTCCGAGCTGTAGAAGAGATACACGTGCACAGACCTGGATGATCTGCGCAGCTACCTTGGCTTGCAGATCACCTGGGACAGAGCACAGTGCACCATTACCCTGACTCAGTCACACATGGTGCAGCAGGTCCTTCAGCGCTTCGGCTTCACGTACTCCTCGCCTCAGGCCACTCCTCTGTCTACTCGCCACTCGCTCTCAGCTCTGCCTTCGGATGGGTCCATAGAGCCGGTGGCCCGTACCCAGAGCTTGTTGGCTGCCTCATGTACCTGATGACCTGCACACGACCTGACCTTGCATACCCTCTTAGCATCTTGGCACGCTATGTTGCTCCTGGGAGACACCGACCAGAGCACATGGCTGCAGCGAAGAGGGTGTTGCGCTACGTGTGCAGTACGTCGGGCATGGGGCTAGTGCTTGGAGGGCGACATCCAGTGGTCCTCACAGGTCACGCAGACGCTTCTTGGGCTGACGACCAGGCTTTGCAGCGGTCGTCACAGGGTTACACCTTCAGCCTTGTCTCTGGCTCTGTTTCGTGGCGGTCTACCCGCTCGTCTTCTGTTCTCACCTCTCGCCGTGAGGCTGAGATCTACGCGGGGGCCATGGCTGCACAGGAGTTACGCTGGCTCACCTACCTGCTGACTGACCTAGGAGAGCCGCCTCGTTCTGCTCCAGTTCTATACGTAGATAACAAGGCCATGCTGTCCTTGTGTCGGGAGTAGAGACTGGAGCACAGAACGAAGCATATTGCTCTTCGCTACTTCTTGGCTCGTGAGTTGCAGCAGCGTGGTCAGCTCCGCCTCACCTACGTGGCCTTTGAGGCCAACATTGCTGATATCTTCACCAAGGCCCTTCCGCCTTGTGATCATTCGCGCTTCTGTGCTATGCTAGGTCTTGTGCCTATTTGGCCTTACTTGCTCACTTCGTGATCTTGTTTGTACTGTACTCTTTCTATACCTGCACTTGCTTGTTTACCTTTATATATATGATCTTGCATGTAAACTGGCCTTGTGGCCTTGCTCTTGTGCTCGGACTGTCTGGTGACGTTGTGATCCACCCTGAGCTTGCTTTGCTTTGCTTGACTGGTCTTGTGACCCCTTGTTCTTCCCCACTTTGCCTATGGGGGTGTGTCAAGCATATATGCTATAGTCTGTGTAGACTGTAGTGGGGCAGTTGATATGGGGTACAACACTTTCGGGTTTACTCCTTGTACTCCTCGTTCTGCTCAATGCATTCATTCCTGAATATCCTATATCAGGCAACAGACAGTGTCAATCAGAGTCGGTTAATGGCACAAATGACAACAGTGGAAATGAAACCGGGCGAAAAAGGGATGGCGTATATCAGCCGCTGTCGCAAATTGCGTGACAAACTCCTTCGATGCGGAGGCTCGATATCAGAAGACGCCTTCGTCACAGTCGTGATTGGAGGTCTTGGTCCTCATTGGCGCTCCACCCGCGCCATACAGCTCACGCGAAGATCTCTGAAGCAGCACTATGCGCCGAAATTCTCGTTGAGCAGCAAGACATGGACCTGCAAGAGGAGCGGCACAAGATGAAAACGTCAGTACATGAATTTACGTTCCATACTCAATGGCGCTACAACAACAACAACAACCGGCATCAACCAAAACCCATACATCCATTCTGTCATATCCGCAAGACTTCAAGGCACTCTCGCACACACTGCCGTAACGCCAATTTCGTCAGCAGTCAACACCGCCGCAGCGCCAACTTCGTCCTTCAAGTAGTCAAGTGGCGTCCACACAAGCGCACCCCACGGGTCAACTGCAGTCCTCAACGACATCGTCAACGCAATCTGCACAAGGAACAAGAAACATCGTAAGTTGCATAGCAAGACTGACTGACTCCTGCATCACTGAGTCACCACCGCACTACTCACTGGAAGAGCAACTCGACAACATCACTCCTCACTGCGAGTCACTTCAACCAAACCCGACGTATGCAGCCATCGCCCAAAGTGAGCCGTCCGGGAAAGACACCTGGTTCTTGGACTGTTGCTGTGGACAGCATATGTGCTCTTCAGGTCTCTTCATTAAACGCGAACACCAACTTCAACATGAAGTCGTCATCACCATTGCCAACAATCAAAACCTGCGCACACGACGACAGGGTGTAGTGCAACTTCACTCACGAGAGACAAATGTCAGACTACAGATGTCAAAGGTGTTAATTGCGGAGGGACTTGGCTACAACTCACTGAGTGTTAGTCAGCTGATGGCGAAAGGCATCCACCTCGAAGCAGACAGCACAACGCAGGAGTTCAAGCTGTACCACGGGAGAGGAGGCCTCTACATCGGCAAGGCTGTACTGAAGAACAACGTGTTTGTTCTCGACTTACTTCCAGATCTAGGCACCGCCGACAGTGACGGAATTGTCACCTTGACCTCCTGGACACACCCACCGGATCTTGATCCTGACTTCAGCCTCAAAGGATTTTGGTACTCGCACACCATTCCTGAGGCAGAACGAACAAGGGCATTAGCAACAATTCAATCACCAGTAGGAGAGACAATATCGGCAGCAGTAGAAACAACATCGGCAGCAGCAGAGACAACATCGGAAGCAGACTGCGACAACATCGACACCAATCGCGGGTCCTTCAACTGCACCAGCCTCAATCGACGACGACACTCCACCGACTTCTGCGCAGCACCTAAATCCGACTTAGCGAGAAGTTCATCGAAGCGCCAAATTCACCGCCGGCATTTACTCCAACTCCGACCTATATCGACGCTCACCCGGACATCGCGCCACCGAAGATATCTGGCACGCACAAATGGGACATCCAAGCAACACGGTGTTAAACAACACAATCAAAGCAGGCGTGCTCGACAAAGACTCACTGCTCCTAACCGATAGAAGCGAACTTCGACGAGCTCGCGGAACGTGCTTTACCTGCCTTGAAGCTGACTTACCACATCGGCCGGTCGCTTCTCACCACAACCCCAGCGCACAAGCTTACGCACCACTCGAGAAAGTGTACAGCGACATCCTGTACAACCGCAAACCTGGACAAGGAGCATACAGTTACACCATCATGTTCATCGATACTGCCACGCGTTACGTTTGGCACCTCAACCTTCCGAACAAGGA